ATTTCACCCCAGAACTCACCCCCCTCCCCCTCCTGGCACTTCAGGTGCCAAATTTCCCTTTTCCCTTTTTTTTGGGGAATTCCGGGGCGATTTTGGGGCTTTTTTTTTTTTTTTTTTCTTTCTTTTTCCATTTTTTGAGGGATTTTTCCCCACTTTGATTTTTTTTTATTCCCTTTTCCCTCATTTTTATCCTCCCCACCCCCCAGCATCCTGGCCCCTCCTCCACCCCCACGAGGCCTTACCCCTCCTCCACCACCCCAAAATGGGACAAAATCCCTGAATTTGGGGATTTCCCCCCCACACCCCTCCCCTGCTGGCACAAAATGGGGCAAAACCCCCCAATTTTGGGGTTTTCCCCTGGCTCCCCTCCCCCACCCAGGGTTGGTTTGGGGTTCGGGGGTGGGGGAGGGGTGGAGGTTGATTTTTTTTTGGGGGGGGGGGTAAAAAGCCCCTTTTGGCCCCAAAACGCCACTGGGGGAGGAGGGGAGGGGCTTGGGGCTGTGGAGACCCCCCCAAAATTCCCCAAATCTCCTCTCAAAATCCCCAGTTTTTCCTCTCCCCGGGTCCCGTGGACTGAATGTGCCTGTTTTTCTTAAAAAAAGAAAAAAAAAAAACAAAAAAAAACAAAAAACACAAAAATAAATGGACTTTAAAGCACCTACCTCCAACTGCCCCTCCCCCCCTGCACCCCCAAATCCCCCCCGGATCCCCCCGAGAGGAGCCCCCGGGATGGGCCCCAAAAACGGCTGAAATTACCCAAAAATGGGCAAAACAACCCAAAAACAGCCAAAATAACCCCCCCGAAAAGGCAAAATAATGCACAAAATGAAATAATCCCAAAAATACTGAAATAACCCAAAGTTTGACCAAAATAGCCCCAAAATGACCAAAGTTGCCCCATATTTACTGAAATTATGTTGAAATAACCCCAAAATTGACCAAATAGCCCCCAAAATTCCCCTCAAATTACTGAAATCACCCCAAAACTGACTGAGGTAACCCAAAATTATTCAAGTAACCAAAAAAAAAAAAAAAAAGACCAAAATAGCCCTAAAAGCACTAAAATAACCCAAAATTACTCAAATAGCTCTAAAATAACCAAATAACCCCAAGGTGACGAATGCATGAAAAAATATTGTTCAAATCCAAAATATCCCAAAATCTAATTGGGAATTGACCCAAGATAACCCAAAAAATTGTGGAAATTACCCCCCAAATGACCGAATTTCCCCAAAACCGGCTAAAATAACCCCAAAAAATGACCCCGAAGTGCCCAAAATTGACCCAAATCCCTGAAATTCCCCTCCGAAATTCCAGATCCCAGGCCCCATCCCGGTGGTTTCTCTCCTCCCCAACCTGAGCGCGATTTTGGGGGGAATCGATGGCGTTTTGGTTAAAAATGGGA